CAATCCTACTTCCGTAGTGATACTGCCTTGGAAACCCAAGGAGGGGTTGCTATGAGTCGGGGCCGACTCGACGGCACATAACAACAACAACAGTTCTTTACCATCTTCATGATGGATGCTATGTTTGAGTCCATTCTTTTGACCACTTGACTTAGCTACTGAAAGGTTGGGCTGCACCCCTTTCTAAGAGGAGGCTAGTATTTTGGCTAAGGAGCCATAATTGAATGACTTGGGTGCTGTGGAGTCGATTCTGACTCAGCAGCCCTATAGGACAGGGTGGAAATGCCTCATAGGGTTTTCTGGGCTGAAATCTTTGGGGGAGCAGTTAGCCAGACCCCCTTACCTGCAATCATGGAGGGGCTGGTGAGTTCAAACTGCTGACCTTTCAGTTACCAGGGGCATTTACCCATTGTGCCACAAGGGCGCCTTGAAAACCCATTGCCTAGTAATAAATTTAAACCAATTCCAAGAAACTTTAACCGGTTTGAGCCCTCCTGTTGAAAATGTAGAATGATTTCAAAGTCTGGCTTCTGGCCCTCTGATACTGACTACTTCGAAGGGAGAAAGTTTCAGCCTTTAGAGAAGAAAGGCTTTCATTCTTCTGTGATTTCCAAGAATCAGGGTCACTGTCTTCTAAAAGACCAAAACCACTGACATTGAGTGGATTCCGACTCAACACCCTTGTAGGACAAAGTTGAACAGCACAATAGAATTTCCAAAGCTGTACTGAAACCAGTTGCCATAAGTTCCTCTTGCAGAGCCGCTGGTGGGTTTGAACTGCCCCTTTGTTTGGCAGCTGAGCACTTTAACCACTGCACCACCAGTGTCTTACAAGACAATGCCTTTGAGGAGACATCTACAAAGTACACCAAGTTAAAAGCTAGATCATGTAACACTGAGATGACTGATGGCTAGCCTTTAGTAATTAGGTTTGGAGTAGTCTTATAGGAATAGGCATAAAAAAGTATCATAGGCCCTTGTATGAGCAATGGAAACATAGGTTCAATGCGTTCGCAGCAATTTGCTAGATGTTGAGCGTGCAGAGTATGGACAGTGACAGATACATAACATCCATTAATAATAGTGCAACCATGATTAAGTCCGTTCCTGCCCTAGCGCGGGTACATCCCGGAACTTTTCTGCTGGGTCTCTTTTGCAGGAGGGACCGGAAAAAGGTAGATACTTTTTGCTGTCATGTGGAGAAGCCGCAGTTTGAACTTGTCCGGAGGTCGCTTTTTAGGAGTGTTTGATTCTGGATGCCGGCGAACACTGGCCAGCTATCCTCGCCTATTCTCGGCGGGTGAGTGTGTGGAGGTTCCCCACACGCTATCCTCATTAGGGGACCGGCGGTTCTGCGCAGGCGCGAGGGAGGGCTGCAGCGGATCGTTACCTTCTGCGGGCCATCAGCGGACTACCTACGGCCTCTATCCCTGTGGCGCTGAAGGCCTGTAGAACACACCTCTTTTGGGGAAAAAGCGGAGGACTAGGTCTTGCCGGAATTAGCTCTGTGCGCGAACCGCAGCGTAGCATCAAACGACCTTTGATCTTGGTTGAACTTGCTGCCCCACGGGCCGGTGATACACTTTGTGTCAACAGAAGTCTCTTGGTCGTGCTTCCTTTTTTTTGCGTCTGTAAAGTCACACCTGTTGCTATTTCATAATTAATGATAGTGTTATATTTATATTTTGCCTTGTTTCAGAAAGAATTTAAGGCAAAAAAAAAAAAAGGAATTAAGGTAGCTATACTACTTTTGATTAGTAGTTTAATTCAATAGACTATATTGGCAATTGAGATCAAGAAGATAGCACACCGAACTTAATGCTTACAGACGACAGTCTGATATTTAGCTCCCAGTCATTGAGTCTTAATCGACTCGACCGCAGTGTTTTTGTTTATTTTTAATCATAAAGTTAATCCTTTACATGAAAATCATTTACCACTCATTTACTCAATGTCCGGAAAGGGAGCCCTGGTGGTAGTTTAAGTGCTAGGCTGCTAACCGCCTGGTAGGTGATTTGAACCCACCAGCAGCGCCACGAAAGATAAGGCAGTCGGCCTGGGTAGACTTACAGCCTTGGAAACCCTATATGGCAGTTCTACTCTATACTTTGCTGTTGTTGTTGTTATGTGCCGTGGAGTCGTACCTGACTCATAGCGACCCCTCCTTGGGTTGCCGAGGCGGTCTCACTACAGAAGTAGATTGCCCAACTCTGTACTATAGGAGCGCTATAAGGCGGAATCGTCTAGACAGCAGTGTTTTTTTTTTTTTTTTCCTGTAATCTCTATATAACATCATCTATATCTCCAGTTCGTTATATAATTAAGTAATGACTATTTGAACTAGAGGAGCTCTGGTAGCATAGTGCCTGAGCACTTGACTGCTAATCAGAAGGCTGGTGGCAGCCACTCCTCGGAAGGAGGGTTGTGCAATCTACTTCCGTAGTGATACTGCCTCGGAAACCCAAGGAGGGGTCTCTATGAGTCGGGGCCGACTGGACGGCACATAACAATAGCAACAGCATTTGAACTAGGTCTTAAAAGGTAGTGCAGACACAGTTAAAAGAGGGAATTACATGAGCAAAAGCCCAGAAGCACAAGTATCTTATGTATTTTTGATAATACCGAAATGGTTTTGGACCAGATTGTGAGTGACCTATAAAAAAACAAAGCAAATAAAAACATTGAGCTTCCAGGAGAAAAATGTGCAGCCACTAGCCATTGTCATCGAGTTGCTAAGCGACCATATAGGACAGAGTAGAACTGCCCCATAGGGAGTTTCCTAGGCAAAGTTTCTTTGCTGAAGCGGCTGATGGGGAATAAATGGCCATTAAACTTTTAAGTGCCTTAGAATTGAACCCACACCTGTGGCTTCCAGCCAACCAAAAGACAGGCATATGAATTGAAGATTTACCTGAGGTAGATGCACTCCTTGGAGAGAGCAATCATGGGGGAAAGAAGGGCTGTTTATGCACAGGGAGACAGCTCAGGAGGCAGGAGTGCATGGAGGGATGGACACAGGGAAGAGGTAACTATGGGGAGGATGTGGGAGGGGAGCTGTTGCATTGGGGTAAATTGTAGTCAATGTCATGAGACAAAGTGTATGTGAACTATATGGAAAGTGAATTTGCTCTGTAAACTTTCACCTAAATCACAATTTAAAAAAAAAAGAAAAAAAGAAAGTGCCTTAGGCTTTTGACTGTGAACCAGAAGGTTGATTTCAATCCCACCAGCCACTCAACGAAAGGAAGATGGGGCAATCTACTTCCATAAAGATTTGTTGTTGTTGTTAAGTGCCGTGGAGTCATTTCCAACTCAGCGACCCCACGCACAGCAGAACGAAACACTGCCCGATCCCGCGCCAGCCCCACAATCCCTGCTACACTTGAGCCCATCATTGCAGACACCGTGTCAATCCATCTCGTTGAAGGCCTCCCCCATAAAGATTTACTGCCTCCAAAAGCAAGTGGGGGTCACTATGAGTCCAAATCCACTGGATGGCAGTGGGTTTGGTTGTTTTGTTAAAGAAAGGAACCTCACTGATGATAAAATTTACACTAAGATATCATTTTCACCTATTAGAGTCTCAAAGAGAAAGATGTTTGATAACTCATTCTGTTGGTAATGATGTGGAGAAAGCAGCACTAGATTCAGGTATTTATTGCTCAAGGGACTGCAAAAAACATCTATGGATGACAATTATATCCTTACAATTGTACACAATTCTTGAGATTTTACCCATAGGCACACTCAAACATATAAGAAATTACCTATGTAATTCAGTTTCAGGTTTTTAGTGAAAAAAAAAAAATTAAAAATAACCGAAATACCCATCAGTAGGAAATTGCTTAAATAAATTATAGATTATCATGCAGCCATAAAAAGAGAAAAATAATAATAGGAGGCTCTTTATGTTCTGTAATGAAATAGTCCCCAAGACGGGTAAATAGAACCGTGTGTAGAAGAACATACATTGTGCTACATTTTGTATAAAATAAGCCAGAAATAGATTTTTTTAAAATGGTTGTGTGTGTATAAAATATCTCTGGAAGCATAGAAACAAATTTAATAACATTGGTTGTCTCCAGGAAGGGAAATTGGATGATTAACATCAGAGATAAGAGAAATACTTTGTAATAAGACATTTTGTAGTTTCAATTTAAGGGAAAAAAAATTATTTTGAAGTAATTCAAGACTCAAGAAATTGCAAAAATAATAGAATTCCTTCAGCCAGCCTTCCTCAGTGATACCACCTTGCATAGCCATAGTACATTGTCAAAGCCAGGAAATTGACAAATATTGTTAACTAAACTACAGCTCTTACTTGGATTTCACTACCTTCTACATTGTGCTTGGAGGGAGCTCTGGTGGCATAATGCCTAAGGCATTTGACTGCTAACCAAAAAGAAGGCTGGCGGTTCAAACCCACTAGCCACTGCTTGGAAGGAAGATAGAGCAATCCACTTCCATAGAGATACTGCCTCAGGAACCCAAGGAGGTGTCACTATGAGTCACAGTCTACTTGTCGGCAGAGTTTGGGTTTGTTTTTTTTTTGGTTTTGTAGTAGAAGATCAGCAAAAAAGAGGAAAACCCTCAACACGATGGATTTACACAGTGGCTGCAACAATGGGCTCAAACAGCAGCAACTGTAAGGATGGCCCAGGACTGGGCAGTGTTTTGTTCTGTTGTACATAGGATCCCTATGAGTCAGAACCAACTCTAGGGCATCTAACAATAGCCTTCTGCATGCATGTGTGTGTGTGTGTGTGTGTGGATGGGGTAAGGGGTGGTTTTATGGCATTTTATCACACGTGTAGATCCATGTAACAACTACCACAGTCAAGACACAGAATTGTCCCCTGGTGCTATTCCTTTACAGTCTGACCCTATTCCCAATTTAGTCCCTGGCAACCACTGATGTGTTCTCCATCACTATAATTTTGTCACTGCAAGAGTTTTTTTTTTAAAAAAAACATTTTATTGTGGTTTTAGTACAAGTTCACAGAACAAATCAGTTACTCAATCCACAATTTAAATGCATTTTATTTCGTGACATTAGTTCCAGTCTTCTCAATGTAACAGCATTCTTTCAACTTCCTCCCTGGGTTTCCCATTTCCATCTGCCCATCTTTCCTGTCCCTTCCTGCCTTCTGAATTTTGTTTTTGGGCAAATGTCTTTTGTACTCATATATATATAGTTGATTATTCTGAGAAGCGTGTTCCTCATGGGTATTATTGTTCACTTTATAGTCTTGTCTGTTGTTTGGCTGAAAGGTGATCTACAGGAGTGGGTTCAGTTCCAGGATTGAAGGGTGTCTAGGCCATAGTCTTGGGGGTTCCACCAGTCTCTATCAGACTGGTAAATGTGCTCTTTTATTATTATTATTATTTTTAATTTTATTTTATTTATTGTGATTTGGGTGAAGATTTACAGAACAAATTCACTTTCCATATAGCAGTTCACATATACTTTGTCTCATGTCATTGACCACAGTTTACAGTGCAACAGCTCCCCTCCCACTTCC